TGGGCTTTCTATGTGAATAATTATCTGTGCCCTTCTTTATTATAAATAGCTTTATTTTGATGTTTAACTGTTAAGTTAAAACATGACTTAAATTATTAGCTGAAGAAGGGTAATTTTAATGTTAAACAGTTATAAATTTGCTACAATAAATAAATTAGAAGTAATAAATTAAGGAAATTTTAGTAACAAAATGAGACAAAGTATACTGGTTTGTAATAATAAATAAATAGTGTGAAAAAGATAAATTGTTCAATATTCAGAAAAATATGTTTCTATAGCAATTTGAAATGTGTATGTTTAAATAAAGTTAAAAAGATAAATTGTTCACTATTCGGAAGAATATGTTTCTATAGCAATTTGAAATGGGTATTTTTTATTCTTTAAGAAAATGCTCTTAAGTAGCCAAAACTGAGCATGATAATCAAAAGATTAATAAACATGTTTAAAATGGAAATTACAGTATGTTAATTTAATATGTGGTCTATCATGTCAGTCCATGTTTTATCCAGGTGGTATGCAAACATTTTGCCCAACAATTTGTGGCTGCAGTGCACTAATGGGTGTTGATGAAGTGTTTAAAATTCATTTAGTTCCTGAATCTGGCATATTCTTTGGATTTTAATACATGGTATTTGAATGTCTTGTATACAGTCAAAAGTCTTTAATCCGGACTCGTCGGGACTTCGGCCATTCCGGATTATAGATCATCAGTTTAAATCTGGTAAGATGGCATGCAGAAATTATAAAATTAAAAATATGAAACTGTAAATTATGAAATAAAGAGCAATTATGATCTGAAGGGTATCAAAATTTACACAAAAAAAGCTTAATATTTATTTGCTTACTTTATTAAACATTTCTTTCAACACACACATGCGTAAAGCGTACATTACGCATAGTCGAAATTAGAAAATTGCAACCAGAAAACTATTTGATGTGTATTTGTGATATTTATAATGACGAGGAATTTGACTTAGATCATATCAAAGATGGAGTACATCGAGATGAAATACTACATTTAGTAAGGAATTATAAGCCGAATAGAATAAAAACATCTGCTCTGAAGATAAGGATAGTGTTGACAGATCAACTTCCAGTTCATTGCGTGCCGCGATGCCCCCCCCCCCGCAGAGCAGCGTGAAATTGATAAACAGATTTCGGAATAGTTAGAGAAACAAAGGATATGCCTTTATCCATTTTTTGCAGCCACTTTTTGTGTGATGGACATCGAAACATGCTTTAGCTTTGTAGATCCTTTGGAAGCTCCAGAATCGGAAATTCTTTTTGACATAATCGAAAGTTCAAGCTTACTTTTATAAAATTGCTCTAACAGTCTGCAAAAAATAATAAGCCAGATCCAATTAGAAGATTAAGGAAGAGCGCAATCTGCAACATTAACTGAAATAGATAATTAGATAGTTTTAGCTTAGTTTACTGTCCGTTATACATTAAACACGCATGTGTAAAAGTATTATGCGCATGCATAGACGCATATGTGCATGCGTAAAGATATTATGCACATGCGTTAACGTATTATGCATTGACGCACGCGCAGAAAGTTTGTAGCTTTGAGGACCGGATTACAGATCATTCCGGATTATGGATGTCCAGATTAAAGACTTTTGACTGTACTAACATCTCAATGAAATGCGTCGAGAGTTTAGACTGAGTTTGCGGTTACCCTAGTATTAAGAAATATTGTTCAAGTACTGTGTTTTTAAGAAAGTCAGTATAGAGAATTAATGATACAGCACTTTTAATGAGAGATAGCTCTTACAGAACTTTCAAAAGATTTTTGCTTGCTAGCTTTCATAAGTTTGAAAGGATCTGAACTAAAGTGCATTATAGCAAAGAAAATGGTTAGAGATGCAATGACTGTGAGATTTGTTAGATTCTGAGGAAAGAGAAGATGAGACTGATAGTGAATTATTTAGTAAAACTAACACAGAAACAGAAGAAATTGATGAAACATTAGAAAATAATGTCTCTGAACTGGATGATTTTGTAGGAAAAGATGAAAAAAAAGGTGTGGAAAGAAAAGAAATTTAGACAAAATATAAGATTCATATGCATAATATAATGACTCATTTTCCACGAACTGTAACAGAAGCCAGAAATGTTACTGGTCCATTTAGTACGTGGAATATTCTTTTTGATAAAACAATGTTATTGATGTTTGTAGAATGCACAAATTTATATATTTCTATACAGCCCCACACTATAAAGATGAAAGCGATGCAAAAGTTACAGATATGCAGATGAAAGCTCTTAGAGGACTTGTATTTATGAGGCCTCCGCAAGAGTCAGCACATCTCAGTGTAAAGTACCAGATCTTGAAGTTTTTCATATAAGTGGTTTTTATTTCTTTTATCTTGTATGTGTTTAGATAATTTGGTAGATAGGCCACACAGATATTCCCTGTTAAAACAGCCACACTTAAGAGATTTCTTGGACAGATTTATTTCAAACTGAAGACTCTTACAGCTTTGGGTAGTACATAACCACTCACAAGAAACTCAAACCCTTTTGTGGCTGATGTGGGTTCCATCAGTATATACTGAACAAGCCAGTGCAGTACAGAATGATGAGTTTTGCACCAATATACTCTAAAAATTTGTATACTTCTAATATGGAAATATACTGCAGTAGATGGCCAGATTGTTCCCTACAAAGACAGTAATAGTACATCTTATTAGTTACTAGTGGAATACTGAAATACTGAATGCAGATAATTGCTATATGAGTTACCTACTATCTGAGGATATTCTAAAAGAAATGCTGACAACAGTAGGAATATGGGACAAACAAAGGAGAATTTTCTGTTGATTTTGTTAAAAAGAGATATATATATATATTCACATTCTTTGTTTTCTGAAAAAAGATTAAAGATTTATTTCTTATGTTTCAAAGAAAGGAAAAACAGTTCTCATGCTTTCAACATTGTATAATGATAATGCATTAGATTATACTACTGCAGAAAAGAAAGACTGAAAATATATCTTTTTATAACAAGACTAAGTGATCAGTGGATACTGCGGATGAAATGACAGCAAATTATTTAACTGCCAAGATAACCAGAAGGTGGCTAATGGTTATTTTCTTTTTTGCACTGAATGTTGCAACAATAAATGTTCTAGTCCTATTGCTTTCAATTGATAATCCATCAACCAAATATAGAAAGACATTCATTAACAAAACATCATGCTTTTTTTTTCATTTCAGGTTAGAAAATTGTTTAATAAAACAGAACACAGAATCTAACAAAACCAGGAAAGGAGAAGTAAATAATATACTCCCCTATGTTTAAAGATTATTTAGACATGGAGTTTCAGGACCATAACTCTTCCATGTTGCAAATCATCATTCAACAGTCTCCTTTACTTTTCCCTTTGTAACACCTACCTACTGTTATCAACTTTATAAACACAGAAATTAAATTTGATGAGGTGAAAATATGGCAGCATAAGAAACTTGATTTTGAACAGAAAACATTTAAGTCACCTTAAGGTAAAAAGAAGGTATCATGTTTAAAAAAAGTAAATAAAATCTTCGGCCTTCAAATTTCATCAAGTATCTCATTTTCTTAAAAACTTCAATATAATTGCAATTTTACAAAAAAATTTAATTTGATATTTTAAAATTAAAATATTCAAAACAATGTTAGGTTAACAAAAATCAATATGATAATTTAACTGAAAATGAAATATGAAAATAAGCAGAGGTATAAAGAAGCTGAAATTTAGCATAGTGCAGCTCTTACCACATTTGGTATCATTAACTGCTTTTACACCTGCACCAATTTTGATATCATGACAAATATTTTTAAGGATTTATATATATTTCAAAAATTTTTAATTTTTTGGAAATATGAAAAAAATTTTTAAATTCTCTTTGAAGACAATATGTAAGTTATATTTATAAATATAACTTAAGATTAAATTTTCTAAAAATAAATGAGGAGAAATATGAATTTAGTTGAATAAGACTAAATTCGATATTGAAAAAGCAAGCAAGAGTATCAATGCAAAAAGGAAGCAACAATAATTCAACTACATTAAGCAACTAAAATTTTGAGTGCTATTTGTTTAAATATGATTGTGCAATTTTGTAAAACTTGGTGTCTTGACACAACGTTTAAGTAAAGAAATGAAATATAGAAAATGAGAATGGAATTCTTAAAAAAGAAGACCAATATTCAGTCACCATATGCAACATAGCTCAGTGTTATGTACAAATTTAAACGTATATCTTAAGACACACTGCTGAGGCATTAAACATATAAGTTGAATTTTGTCACCAGCCAGCTAGAACAGAAAACATAAAATTTCTTTCTTTTTTGTTTCTTTGTTGCTTACTGTACACTCAGTAACCTCTGCAGGTTTTTATTAGAAAAACTTGAATATAACAAAGCCAGAGACTAAGAATAATTGCAATCACTACTGCTTAGCTAGGGGAAAAACAAAAAGCTTACCATATCATAATGAATTATGCATAAAATAATAAAATATTCAGATTCTTATAGTTAGCATAAAATGTGTTCATACTTGTACAATGTATCAAATATACTGTTTTTTAAATTTTTATAAATCATTTTGAGAAATGGTAGTTCATAAAAATTATTCAATATGATTTCTATCTTTATTTAACAAACCTCTGTTTATCTTGAATGTAGCAAGCTATTATGATAGCAAAAGACAAAGAAAAGTAATGATAAAAGTAATTTATGCATCACAACAAATAAAGAGTTATCCAAGCAGAGTTTTGGGAGAGAGAAAAAGTCTGAAAAACTTATTGTACTGATTTGGTATTACTAGGGCAGAGGAATTTCTATTTTAACAGAATGCCTACTTAAACTGTTTTTTAATGGTTCACGGCATGCAAAAAAATTCTTGTAAATAAAAATTTAAATATAATATAATATTAAATTATTAGTTTTAGATAATGTAATAATATATATTCTGCATTTCGAATCTTCAAGTAACAAACATTGCATGACATACCTCGTGAATGCTCTTTGGAACTAAGATAATCAGCATGTTCCCATAGATCATGAGAAAGATGTAGATTAGCCAAATATGCACTTTGTTGCTGTAACATTTTGTACTTGGTTCGTGAAACTGTAAGAACATCTGAATACACATCAAACTGCAAATGAGTTCTAGAACTTCCAGGAACAGAGGATGAACTCCAACCCAATTCACTACTGCTATAACCACTGCTTTGTGAACTTACAGAAGCCACACTTCCAGCAGGAGAGGGAGTCAATGAACAGGGAGAAGTTTGATGAGATGGAGAAGTTTGTGAATGCTTCATTCCTTGACGGAACAACTGCACATGAGGAGGAGAAATCTGCCCAGGAAATGATCCATTTTCGGACTACAGAACATGCATAAAATAAGTAATTTTTAATTGACATAATTTTAAATACATAGAAAATTCCTAGACATGACAAGAAAACATATTTGAAAATAATAACATCAATATACTAGATAGCTTTCATCATTTACTTAGGTTTAGTGAGTTATAATTTATTTACAGGTACTCTTACGTGATTTTTATTACAGTCGATATTATACCAAAATATCCTTACTAATACATTTTCAAGGAGAGGACCACCAATTTATGTTTGTCAGCTACTTAAAATTTTTCAGACATAACATGCAAAGATTTATTTAAAAAATGTAAATAAATAACAGTAATTTTGACCCGCTGTCACATATTTAACTCTCTCCACTCAAACTTTTGGCAGGCTTCCTGAAACTCAAAACTGCACCTGGCAACTCAAAGAAATGAAACAAAATTCCTTGAACAATGCCGCCATGAGTGTGACATCTCATCATATAGATAACATACACTGGTGAAATAAATTAAGAACATTTGCATATTTTATCGAATTGCATGAAGAGAACTGAACTGAAGGAAAAACCACTGCTTCTAGATAAAAATGCAAATCTTGTATGGCAAATATGTAAGCGTACACATGTGTGTAGGTGGAGCCAGCAGAAAAACAGGCTTTATAAGCCGTGGAGGGTTAGACAAATTGCATTTGCTAGCACACCTTGGCGAATTTCTTGGTGTTATCTTGCAGCAATTGGTTAAATTCATATTGGAACAGTAAAAATGAGCAATCACCAACGTTTAGATCATGGAATGAGGTGGCAAATTGTGGGGAGGCTAGAGGCACACCAATCGCAAGTCCAGATATGCAGAGAGTTTAATTTAACAACCAGCGTCGTGCATAACCTATGGAAACAGTTCCAGGATACTGGATCCATCAAGAAAGCCTGGGCAAGATTGTTCAACAGCCATGACAGCCAGAGAAGGTCGCTATTTGTCCATTTTCGCGAGGTGTAACAGAGAGGCTAGCTCTCTTGGACCTGTATGCAGCCACAGGAATCCATGTAACAAAGGTGACTGTTTCCAAAAGACTGAATAAGAGAGGGTTGTTTGCCAGAAGACCAGCTGTTTGCCTCCCACTCATGTCTACGGACAGGAAAGTCCAATTAGCATGGTGCAGGCAGCATAGTGATTGAAGTATGGAGCAATGGGCCACCGTTCTGTTCACCGACGAGTCCTGTTTTAGCCTAAACGCCGATTCTCAGCATACTTCGATATGGAGAGGGCCAGGGACCAGCTACCTACCCTCCAATGTTCGCAAAATCAACAATTATGATGGTGGCGGTGTAATGGTCTGGGCAGGCATCATGTTGGATGGCCGCACACCTCTCATCGTCTTTGACAGAGGCTCTGTCACTGGTGTGAGGTACAAAGATGAGGTCTTGAAGCCCTATGTTCACCTTTTCTGGGGCCCCAAGTTCATCTTACAGGACGATAATGCAAAACCACATAGAGCTCTTCTGGTCGACGAATTTCTCGAGAGTGATGATATTTGTTGGATGGTTTGGCCAGTCAGGTCTCCAGACCTCAACCCTACACAGCATGTCTGGGACGCTCTGGGCAGGGCAATTTCAACTCTCAACCCCCTCCGAGAACCATCCAGAAACTGAAAACAGCATTGCTATTTGAGTGGGACCACTTGCCACAGATAAACTGATAAACTGCCGTATATCCAGTATGACATCACTCTGCAAGGACTATATGGCTGCAAGAGAAGACCATACCACCTATTAACCCATTTCTTTTGTGTCTTCTGCAACCATTGTTTGAGACCTTCAGACTCCCATGAGTGTTACACACGAACATGTGTGTCTATTATAACTGTTGAACGTTTATTTTGTTTGTATTATATCAATCAATGTTCATACCAAATTTTATTAAAATCTGTCCAGTAGTTCTAGAGATCGTAGATCAAATATGAAAATTCTGTTAATTTATTTCATCAGTGTATATGCATAACTATGTTCAACAATGAACTCCTGTATACTGTTCTAACACATACATGAATTTTAGAGTTTTGCAAAGTTGAAACTACAGAAAATTATTTTTGCAGCTGGTGAGTAGAAAGTTTTCAGCTGTCACTTGTGCAATTTATATGTGCCATGAGATATATATATATAAATCGCTAAAACACACTAAATGGATGCTTTTTGAAGCAGTGAATGACTTGAGCATTTTGATTCACATTTTTGAAGTCTTCTTAGAAACAACAAAATGACAGGCAGTGCTTTTGTCATGGATGGCTGATTTTTTTTTTTAGAGAATTAGAAAGGCATTCAAATTATAACATTTGAATTAGAAAGACAGTCACTTAATAAGGCAAATAATATTTCAACATTTACATACAGCAGCATTATTAAATTTCCTGCAGCACTAATGAACATAATGCAAAGATATAACACAAAATCCTTTGTTTTTTCACTTTATTTGGTGATGTTTGAGTGGTAAGCTAATTGGACAAACATTCAGGAAACAGATGGTTTTGCATCTGATGGCTCTTTCATCAATCAAAAACATCAAAAGTAAGAAAAGTTAGGGACCTAATATTTACCAACAAAATTAAACAAAAAGATGGTAATGAAATGCATGAATATTTTGTTGATGTCTGAAAAAAATTACTGGAACCCCCAAAATCAGCAGAGAAAATTGATGAATAGAACCCTGCATGTAAAATTCTGAAAATGTGAGGTGATCCCATTTACCATTTTGAAAACAGAAATTTGAAGGTAAAAGATGCAAAATAATGACACTATCAATATTATGCATATCAGTCTGAAACTTATACCCAGGTCATGGTTACAAAAGAGCTTGTTTAGCATTTAAACAGCATTATTGGTGCTTTGTATAAAAAAAAAACAGTACTCAGCAAACTATCTGACCCTTGATAATATAATATACTTTTGTCTCTGGGCGAAGTCACACAGCCTTAGAGCAGGATTTTAATCTGGAACATACAAACTGAGGGTACTGGAAAATTACTGTAATTTCCCGAAGAAAAGCCACAGCATTTCTACCCACACGGTGTTTAGGTGCACTAAAAATAAAATATTTCCTATGATGGTCATTGTACATAGTTTAGATGGCCTGGTCATTGTACATAGACTGGTGCTGTTCCCACACAAAAGACCACTCAGTTGCTTTTTGTGAACGTTATTTTGTTTACATTCTTTCCCTTGAACGGACCTACATGCCTTATTCACCCTAAACGGGATCTCAGAACAATAACATTCTTCCCCCTTTCAAATCAGCATTCTCATCACTTTGAATAGTCTCTCTCCTCTGCCATTCAATGAATCTTCCAGGACCCATCCTCTCCAGACCCCTGCTTTTCCTGCAATTTTTTTCAAAGGCGGACACGACTCCACCTGCCTCGCAATAACGAACTCTGACGTATTTCCCCTTCAGCATGAATCGATTTTTCTTGGCATTCTGCCAGATACAGATTCCATTAGTTTGGGTACAAATACTTGTTGGATAGTTTTTAAGTAAGAAGAGAACGGAAAATTTTTTAAAATGGCACCTAAACAGTCGCAGAAGCTATTCTGCTGGTTTTAAGCTTAATGTAATTTCATGTTCTGAACAAATTGGAAATAGAGAGCAGCAGCTCGAGAGTTTGAAGTGGACGAGAGATGTATTCAACGTTGGAGAACTGAAAAGAAGAACTTAAAAATATGCCACAACAGAAACGAGCCAAAAGAAGTGGTACTGTAAGGTGGCCGAATTTTAGAGGAGGACCCTTGCAAACTGTATAAAGGAGCAACAAGGAAAGGGAATGGCAATTTCGACTGTAAAAATTTGCTTAAAAGCAAAATTTATACGGCAAAACAAATGAACATAAATGATTTCAAAGGAGGGGCCTTGCAGGTGTAAGCAGATTTATGAAAAGAAAAAATATTTCTGTGCATACTAGAGCCAACAGTCGGGCAACAATTACCAATGGACTGGCAGGATAAAAAGGCACCCTTTCTAAAATATGTGACACATATTATTGACCAAAAAAAACTTCTTCAGTCACAGATAATAAATATGGATGAAACGCCGTTAGCTTTCGACTCTCCTGCAAACAGAACTCTTGATGAAATTGGTGCAAAAACTGTATCTGTGCTTACGACGGGGCATGAAAAAACATCATTTACGTGTGTGTTAGCTTGTGCCGCAAACGGTGACAAGCTAAAGCCGATGATAATTTTTAAACGTAAAACTATTCCAAAGGAAGATTTTTCCTAATGACGTAATTATTTGTGCAAACAAGAACGGCTGGATGTGCAAAACAATCATGCATGAGTGGCTACAAAAAGTTTGGCAGTGTCATAAGGGATCTTTTTTCCAACCAAAAGGGTTATTGATAACAGATTCCATGCGTGCTCATTTACTTAAGTCAGTGAAAACCAGATGTCAAAAATTGTCTACGACTGTAGCAATAATTCCTGGTGGTTTGACAAAAATCTTACAACCATTAGATTTGTCAGGTAATAAATCCTTCAAAGCTGAAGTCCGAAAGCGGTTGGAGTGTTGGATGAGTGAAGGATTGCATACGTATACCAAAAGCGGTAAAAGCGTAGAGCATCTTATGAAGAAGTTGCACAGTGGGTAAAAACATCGTCAATAATAGCAGGGTTCAAAGAAGCTGAAATTATATCCTTAGATAAAGACACTGTAAACCAAGAGGATGAATGTGACAATCTGGAAGACTTGGACTTAGATCAGGATTTACTAAATCTTTTTAATTCAGATAGTGAAGAATCAGATTTTGATGGCTTCATATGATGTATAGTTTGCTGTAATTCCTTTTGTAAGTAAAATTTAAAATTTCCTTTTGTCATCCAAATTTAATATTTCGTTGTTGCAACATTTTTTATAATATAGTCTGAGTACTACAAATATGGACTTCTTTAGTGGGTAAATATAAGTATATTCCTGAACGTAAATACATTTTCAACATTTCTTACCTTTAATTTATTTTTGAGTTATGGTTTCAT